AGGGTTTAGGGTTTAGGGGGGATGAACCCCGAAGTCTCCACACTTTGGTGGAAGTCTTGATGGGCGACTGCGGAGCGCACGCACTGAAAAAGATACGGGTCCGAGAGCTTTTCCGGCTCTTGGGCTGAGGGGATCAAGGCCTTGATAAGTCCTCGTAACTCGTAGAAGCAGGGCTTGTAAGTAGGTTTAGGGTTTAGGGTTTAGGAGTGGCACTTCTAAACTTGGCTTTGTGAACCTTCTTGATCCTCAGACCTATCTAAGTCCAAGCCAAGCCGTAAACCCGAAGTTCCGTAATCCCAGTGAGCGCCCTAAGCCCATAAACCCAAAGAAAACCCTCTCCAAACCCCGTAAGCGTCACACGAAGCCCCTTAAAACGCCCTACAAGCGCCGTCCGGTTAAACCCCTAAACCCTAAACCCGATTACAAGCTTCCTTTTGGGTGCCAAAATATCGCAGGGCGGTGTCGCGCCGAGCCTCAGGAGTTTCCGGGGAAGCTTCGGGGAGAGCTGCGGGGTTCCGAAGCTTTCAAGTGTTTAGGGTTTAGGGTTTAGGGTTTAGGGTTTAGGGTTTAGGGTTTAGGGTTTAGGGTTTAGGGTTTAGGGTTTAGGGTTTAGGGTTTAGGGATGGGAGTCTTAGGGTTTCGGCCTTGTTCGCAGGCTTTAGAACGCGGGGTTTGGGGCTTGGGGTGTGGGATTTAGGGCTTAAAGCCTTCAGGTGTCTGTTTGGGAGACGGTCAGGGTCCAAAGCCAACACAGAGGCCTGAATGGTTCCTGATACAAATCCTTAAGGTTCTGTTTGGCAACTGGTTTAGGGTTTAGGCTCTTGGGTCTAGGGTTTAGGGTTTAGGGACAAAGCATACTGCACCCCCAAACCCTATTCTAACTGTTAACACTGCTATTTGGCTGTGGGTCTCGAGAGTTAGGTGCACTCGGATACGACAAATTGAGCAGGCTATGCTCGAGGGCATGAGCGAACAGAGACGTACTGTCTGCCCCAAACCCTAAACCCCTAAACCCCTAAACCCTAAACCCTAAACCCTAAACACCTAAACCCTAAACTCCTAAAACCCTCAAACCTAAACCCCTAAACCCCTTAAAACCCTCAAACCTAAACCCCTTAACCCCTAAACCCCTAAACCCCTAAACCGCTAAAACCTAAACTTACAAACCACATCGTCTCCCATGCAAACTGACCGCAGCTCCGAAAGGCTGTTCACAGCCCCAAGGCCTCGAAAAACCGGCCTCCACAAGCGCTCTTGGAACCCGGTTTAGGGTTTAGGGTTTAGGCTTTAGGGCCGAAGGGTGTAGGGCTTAAGGTTTAGGGTTTCAGGTTTCGGGTCCCGTCACCCAAAGCTTGAGCTCGAAATCTGAATAACCCGAGCAGAGCCGTTTTAAGGTTGAGGGTTTAGGGTTTAGGGTTTAGGGTTTAGGGTTTAGGGTTTAGGGTTTAGGTTGGCGCAGGGGGCCCAAGCCCCAGAGGCTCTGCACCCAAACGCTCCAACTCCAAGCTTGCTTGATATAGGGGCCTAGACACTTAGAATAGGGTTGCAGGGCACATTGTACATATATATATATATATATTTATTTATTTATTTATTTATTCATTTATATTTATATTTATATTTATATTTGTTAATATTTATTTATTTACTTATTATTATTAAAGTAAGCATAGCAATGAAAATAATAGAAATATAGTAATAAGCAATTGACAAAAATACTAATAACTGATAATAATAATAATGACAATAATGACAATATTCATAATAAGGAACCCCAAAAAGAGTGTTGGTAATTATTTCGGCCCCTTAAAAGTGTTTTGGGACTCTGTGGGTTCTTGAGGTCCGAACCCGAAACCCCCAAGCCGTACCCCTACTTCTGCCCTGCGGCGGCCAGCGAAGCGAGTAGCAGGACCTTACCGGGCTAGAGGCAGCAAGTCGTGGGTCTAGGGTTGAGGGCAGTTTAGGGCAGTTTAGGCGTTAGAGTTCAAGGCTTAGGGCAGTTTAGGGTTTAGGGTTTAGGGTTTAGAGTAGGTGCTAGAGTTTAGGGTTTAGGGCAGTTTGGGGTTTAGAGTTTAGGGTTTAGGGCTCGGGTGGCTTTTCTGGGGATTTTGCGGACATTGGAGATCGCTAGGCTTTGGCTTTAGAGGCTTTCCGGCCCTGGGGCTTTTAGGGCCTCAGTGCCAACGAGGTCCGACAGCCTCAACACGCAGCCCAGTTTAGGGTTTGGGGTTTTAAGGGTCAGGGTTCCCGGTTTAGGGTTTAGGGAGTCGCGGAAAGGTCGAGAATGTGCGAAACCCCAGCTATCAAGATTCTCGTGTGTATGAGCATGCCAGTGTTCTGGCCATTACGTCTTGACTCACCACTGTGACACAGAACAACTGAACTCCTGCGACGACTCCGGTCGCTACCAATATATTTTCTACTTCAGGCTTGAACACTGAACCTTACAAGAAACCCCGAACCTGACTGGACCTAAAGTCCAAGCCTTAACCCCGAACCCATTCTGAACCCACGGCCTCAAACAGGGAGAC